CTCGGGCGCCCGAGTTGGGCTTTTAAACGTTTAGCCCATTTTTTTCGATCGAAAAGACGGAATTTTTACCTCGTTGTGTCCGCTATCCAGATCTTCATCCGATGAACTCATTTATGTTCGTATATCACACCAATAAGTATGATTTGTGATGAAATCGTCTTGAGAGCGAATTTTTTTAGAGAGAGAGAGAGTCTTTGAACGGTAAATAGCAATTTTCAAACGGTAAAAAGCAAATTCCTTCGATAAAACACTATTTACAACACAAAAGGAATTGGCTGTTAGACTTCTTTTCTCATAAATTATTTAGAATTTAATATGTTAGGAAAAAAATATGAAATAAGGTGCTTTTTTATGTGAAAGCTAAGATTTATTTGAATTGGTTATTTTAATAGGGGAGTTGATAAAACCAGTTTCAATTTTACGAATATCGTATCAATTTTTAGATGTTTTTCTCTCTCTAGAATTTAAAAAAAAAAAAATCATTTTTCTTTTTGCCTATTCATGTCCAAAACGGACGTAAAATAACCTATTTCACGTCCAAGACGGGTGCAAGAAAATGTGATCACGCCCAACATGGGTATTGGTTGAAATAAGTTAACTTAAGATCTGATAAGTTGTTATGTATTAATTTTAAAATTAATTTTAAAAGTGTTGGGATAATAACTTTATAAGCTATTTTAACTTATTATAATATTTTAAATAAAAATGTGGGCAAAATGTACTTTTTTAAAAAAAAATAATTATTTGCTCTACAACAGTTTATTTTTTTTAATTTTTAACAATTTTTTTTTAAATTACCAAACACTTCAGAAAAGCTTATAAACTCTTATACATCTTATAAGGTTTTTTTTTAACAACTTATATGTTTAGCCAAGCACATTTTTAGTTTGTTAGTGATGAATAACTAATTATTAACTAGTTTACAATTAATAAATAATTATTTTTTTATTTAATATCTTTTTATCTTAATTAATTAATAATTTTTTATTAATTATTTAATAATGAGTGAACACTTAATAATAATTTATTATGTTTATTAATTATTTAGTAAGTAATGAATAATTAATTAATTAATGGTTAGCAATCATTTATTAATTAATTACAAAATACTACTAGCTAGTTAATAAAAAAAACATGTTTAGTAACTAATGAATAAATCAATAATTATTTGTTATTTTTTTCTAGTAATATATAATTAATTAATTATTATTTATTGGTTAGTAATTATTTAGTATTAATGAATAACTAGTTCTTCACCCGTGCGTTGCACGGAGGTCAGTTTTAAAATGAGAAAAATAATAATATGTAAATGACTATCTCTTTATAACAACACCAATTAAAGTAAAACACAATGGAAGGAAATTAAAAAAGAATAAACTTTATTCCTTAATTCAAAGTTTTAACATATGAAATTAAATTAAATATTACAA